AATAAAGTATACTAGGTAAGACCCAGCTAGTTAAACACAAAAAAAAAATATTTTTTTTTATTTTTATTTTTTATTGAAATTATTATTATAATTAGAATTTGATAAATTTTAATATAAATTTTTGTTTTTTATAGTTTTTTTTTAAAAAATATAGATTATTGAAAATTTTTATTATTAATAAATATAATATAGTTTTGCTTTTTCAAAGTTTTTTAAAGTTTTTTATTAAAATTCTTTTTTTTTTTTAAACTTGTAATTAGATTATATTTTTATTTAAATATTTTTTAAAAAAATTATGATAATTACAATTTTCTTTATTATTATTTTTTATAAAATTTTATAGTATTTTATTAAATTAAAAATAATATAAAAGTATTTATTTATATAATTTATACAAAATTAAATTAATTTTTTTATTAACTAAAATTATTTGTTTTTATTGATTAAATTATTTATTTTTTATTAATTGAAATTTGTTTATAATTTTCAAATTATTTCAAATATATTAATAAATAAATATTAATAATTGAATCTAATAATAAATTTAATAAAACTTAAATAAATTTCAAGTTTTAAATTTTTTAAATTTAATAATAAAATTATAAAGTTCAAAATTATTTTAAAAAAACAAATTTAAATTCAGTCAATAATATTTTTTAATATATTTTAAAATAATATTCAAAGATTATATATATATTTAAAAATAAAAAAATTTTTTTTAATTAATTTCAAATATTTTATAAAAAATTAAGTTAATTTATTGTTTAAGTACTTAATTAAAAATATATAAAACAAAGTTTTATTATAAATTACTTAAACAAAAAAGCTTTAGAATATTTTGAAAACCTGCAATTTAAATTAATTATATTTGAAACTTAATTTTTTTTTTTTTTTGAAAAGAGCAAATAGCTATTATGTTTTATTATATTTATTATACTTTCACTTACAAGATAAGGTACAATAATCAATAGCACGACATACGTCTTTCTTTACTAGGAAGAGTTTAACGCAAGGCTCCCATATGGGGCCAAACCCCTGTGCTCTTTTAGTACCATCCAAGGAATATAGATAAAAGGAAATTCAAAAATCTATATCTAATTATAAATGACATCCAGCTACCTGAAATTAAATAAATACCTAATCACATGAAGGCGCTGCAGCCAATCTATACAGGTTGACCTCCAAGTCATGATTAGGATTGGCATGCCTGCTTTCCAAATATGGCTTGATGTACGACAAGTGAAGTAGTGTTGAAGATGGTGGAAAATGAGTACTTTTTTGCATAAAGGCACTGCAGCCACTTTATACAGGTTTGCCTCCAAGTTACAAAAAGGATTTGGCACATCCATGCTTCAAGTATAGTGGAAGTATCCTATGGATAGTTGAAACTTAATTTTTAAAAATATAATTTAAATATTATAAATATAAAAATTTCTGATTTTTAAAATATTTTAAAAATTTTTTATCTTAAGTAATTTATAATGAAATTTAATTTTGTATATTTTTATTAAGTACTTGAAAAAAATTAATTAATTTAATTTTTTAAAAGATCTTTTGAATTAATTAAAATATTTTTAAAATTTATATACATATATAATATTTAAAATTTTTTATTTATAAATATAAATTTTTTAAATTTTTAAGATATTTTAAAGCTTTAAATTTTAATTAATTTATAATAAAATTTGGTTTTTTTTATTTTTTATCAAATATTTAAAAAAAAAATAATTCAATTTTATTTTTTGTAAAATACTTTAAACTAATTAGAATATTTTTATTTTAAAGATTTTTAAAGATTTTTAAAAATAGAAATTTTTAGAGTTTTTTTCAAAAAAATTTCTGATAAATACTATATTTAGTTTTAATAAATAAAATCAAATTTGAAATTATTTTATTAATTATTAAAATAATAATTATTATTATTTGTAATTAAATAATTAAATAACTTTATTTTTATTACAATTAAAATTTTTAATAATAATATTTTAATATTGATTTGAAATTTTAAAAATATTCAATTATATTTATAATTAAATTTATTAAATTAAAAAAATATTTTTTATCTTATAATTTTATAATAGTTATTATAATATTAATAAAATAATTATTATATTATAATACTTTTTTGAATATTATAATATTTATATTTATTGAATTAGTATGAAAAATAGTTCTATATAAAAAATAACACTTGTTAAATTGATTTAATTATTTTTTCTTGAAATTAAATTTGATATTTTGTAATAAAAACTTGAAAGCATTAATTACTATTCTATAAATTTACAAATTTATAAAAAATATAATATTAATATATGTTTTTTTTTTGAGAGGTTTCTCACATAGGTAAACATCATTTCTTTATTTAATATTATATATAATAAAGTATACATTATGAAAGAAACAACATTTTTTTAATTATTTCAAGAAGTTTAATACTAATTTGCCTATTTAGTCATTACCTAACTAATATTGTAAAATAATTCAAAAGTAATATTATAGTATTAGATAAAGCTAAGTAGTAACTATACCTACCAACTTAGAAAATTTTGTGAATTCTTTTGATTTTTTGGATATATAATAGTTAAAAAGAAAATATAATTATAATTAAAACTATATTAAATAAACTATAAAATCCATAAGTAGAAAATTAATTATTTTTTCAAGAAAGCTTTCAGATAAGTTTATGATTTCATCTCTCCAGTTTTTTGATTATATAGATAATGAAGTATATATGAAGTTGTTTATTGTTATAGTTATTAGCAGACATGTGATTGATATTGTTGTTGTGATCATTATTATTATTGTTGTAATTGTTATTGTAATACAAAATCAATTTGAATAGATTCAGTTTTTGTTTTGATTTTTAAATGAAATTTGATTGAATAATTGGAAAGTACTGATAATCTGCAAGGTATAAACTGATTTTGGTTTTTTGATTAGGAAAAAATATTGAGAAATTTGGAATGGCACAATAAATATCATTATAGTAAAGTAAAATTTATGAATTGACTTGAAACAAACAATAGACTTACTAACTCTGTTTGAGTATATATTTTGGAAAGTATTTGTTATAGCAAGTATAATGATAATGATGTGGATGGTTTTTATGATAAAATAAGGGTAAGGAGGAATGCAAAAGAATAAAAGAATAGAAAACTGCCACAGGCCTTTTCTTGTGTAATCAAAGGATAAGCAAGATTTCCAAACTTGAATAGACTTTGACCAGAGGTTCCATCCCATTGCACCAGTTGTTTTGAAAATTTTTGAGTTTCTGAGCTGAGGCTCACTTGTGATAAAGAGTTTAAAACATTTTTTCTTGCTTAAAATTACCATAAAAGGAAATTTTTTAACAAAATAGATGCAATCAGGAGAGAGTTTTTTTTATTAATATATGTTTTTTAATAATTATATGTATATGTTATACAGTATATTGTATAATAAAATATAGAAAAAAGTATAAAAATTAATAAAAACATTAATAAACCAAATAAACTAATTGTATTGAAATTTGGGTAATTTTAATTTTAATTTAGACTATTAGAAAGATATAAGGATATTAATGCATATAGCAAAGATTTAAACATATCGTGCACGTGATTTTAAGGTAAATAAATACTTGTATTTGAGTGTGATGACAATAATAAAATGCATTTTTGTTTATTGCTTTTTGAATTATTGATCGCCCAGTGAATTCGTTGTTCGTTTTTTTGTTGAAGTTGTGCAAACCAAACATATCAAGATTTGATAAAAATAAACTCTACTAATTTCTAAAAATATTAATTATTTTTAATAGGCCACAATTTTCTTTTATATAATAAAGGAATCTTTTAAATTGATTGTTTCCTTCATTTGATCGTAATTGATTACCATGTAAAATTTAAGAAAAAAAAAGGTAAGCAGCGATTCTTTGGAAAAAAGTCCGAGGAACATCACACTTTAAAAGTACAAGTATCAAAAGTGTATGCTCTAAACAAACTCGCACTAGTTTCTGATTGACCATTGAAGAAAGTAATTATGTATGCATCAAAAATGAGAACTACTAGAAAATTTTTCAAGGGAAATTCGAGAAGGTTAAGAGAGATCAATTACCTACTTGTATACATTATAAAGGAAATATTTTCGGCATTTTTTAATGCAAGAAATTGAGTATAAGAATCGCGAAAGTTAATCAAAAAAGCTTTTAATCTCCCATCGAAAAATAATTTCCATAAATAGATTAAAGTATGTACCAAATGTAAATATGCACTTCGTGATTAAAAGGAGAAAGAAGTTATTTAAGTCATTCGATATTCGAGATTTGCCACAATAAAAATAGAAATCATCGATAAATTATTTGTTCATCCGTATCATAGACAGATTAACATTAAAAACGTTTAAGTATAGAAAAAATATCAATCAATCGAATTCTTCTGCCTCTATCAACAAAGGATGCAACGGTGGCAATTGTAATTCTTGGATGACTATACTGTACACCAGGAAGTTCTCGCCGTGATGTGTCGCGGCGGTTTACGGTCGTTATTCTTGATCATGTGATTACCGAGTTTACACTTTTTTCGCTTTCAACAATTTTTTGTACTTATGGTAAGCACTGCACTTGTGTATTGATGTTCAAAAGACAGATGTTCGTGTCACCTCAACTGTTCCAATTAGTGATTAGTATTAAGTTGCTCTGTAACCGCCCTTAATTTATACTGTACGTGCGTAAATTCTATTTATGTATTTATACTACTACGTAAAAAAAAAATCGAATTTTTCAAGAGCTCATGCACTTTCCTGCTCACATCTTCATTCCTTTATAGGTTTTTTTTTTTTTAAAAAAAAAAAATTCTAGCTTTTTCGACTTCCGTTTACTGGTTTTTTTTTTACGCCTCCTGCAGTCAACTTTTCCAAATATCTACATATATATATATATATATATCCATCCCACTTCAAAAAAAAACCATTCATTCGTTTCACTCGACTTTTTTTACATACACATCACCTATCTTTTACACGGTGCAATGAGCATAGATGTTGATGATTCCGGAGTCTTTTCAAGACTTCAACTGGCAAGAGCTCTTAAAGAGGATCTCGATAACCCCTTGGCAGAACCGCCAGATAACAGTGCAATCTTTTCACGACAACGAGCCAGAAAGTCAGACGCACCTGTTGGTCAATTCTACATACCACGTCCAACAACTTTACTTACTCCTCCCATCCTGAGTACAATTGAACCACAAAACAATGAACCGCAACACCTCCAAGAAGACAAAAGGAATTCGACACAACCTCCAAATGCAAACGTAAGGGGCAGTGTCGTCGTACCTAGCCACGAAGAAAGACGTGGCAGTCTAGGGAAACCAGCCACTTTGTTAGACATAAGAAAATCAATGCTGGATACTCGACAAAGTATTCACAACATGCTACCCTTTTCGCCAGCTTCCAGTCAAAGAACCTCTCAAATTCTTCAACAACAAAAGTCTCTTCCTAGTACGTATTGTTATACATAGAAAGTAATTCAATTTCCCCGTTGAACCAATTGCATGAATTTAAAATGAATTCACATGGTAGATCGATCGATCCATCACGTGACACGATTTCTTCACTAACAAAGTAACGCAATTATTTTAGATCTATCGCAAACAAAACAATCACAGGGAGCTTCTAGAATGAGCACCGTATCTAATAATAATTCTCGACAAAGTTCATTATCCACAAACTCGTCGAGACCAACGTCATCACATAATCCTGCATCCCGTCCAACTTCAACATTTAGGTTAAGCAAATCCTTTATTCCTCAGGATTCAGAAGACAGCAGTTCTTCTTCGGATTCTCGTCAAAAATCATCTCCCAAGTCATTAAAACCAAAATCGAAAAAATTGACGTTATCGGGACCTAGTAGATCCGGACATAAAAAGGTGGTGGATGATAACGAAGAGTTGCCGGAGGAAGAGCAGACAGTCAAACGGTCAATCAAGAAGAAGAAATCCATAAAAAAACATAAGCATGCGCAAAAAAGTAAACTCGAAAAGGTTGAAGAGGAAAATTCTAATGATAGTGAAGAAACTGATGATGATGATGATGACGATGATGATGATGATGATGACAATGAAGAAGACGATGAGGAAGATGACGAATCAGATTCTGAAGGAGACGATACTCCTCTCGCTCTCAAGACTACGCCGAAAATCAGAATCGCTGCTCCTAACGGAACCGTAAAAAAAAACGGAGAAGTAATTGAAGCTTGGCTTGACGATGGTTTGTAATAACCTAAAAAATGATATTATTATTATTTATCATACAACGCATCTCACACAGCTCTCGAAATTTTTTAATAGTCTCCGCTAATTCAAGTCCTGAGCCTGAAATTAACACGCGAAACCGACGACCTTCATCCAGCTATGTACAAACACCATCCAGCCCTCTAGGACCTGGTCGTAAATCGTCTCTTACACCAGAACCTGCATCGGTCCCGGGAAATCGTCGACCTCGTTCCACAGCTGATAATATTCGTAAGTATTGCAGAACGATAATGTTTACATGCAAAAGAGAAATTCACATCTTTAACCTAATTTATAGATCCACCAGAATTACACCTTCGATCACAGCCACGAAAGAGAGCCAACAGTGAATATGTACCTAAAAGAAATAGCTATATTCCGGAACCACAACTCACGCAAGTTGGCCGAATATCGCCAAGTCCACGGCAGGATTCAGGATACTGGGCTCGGGACACTTTGGCAGCATTATCAGGAGACTCTCGTCATTTAAATTTGATGAATGATCCAAATTCGAATTTTATGCCCAATAATTCACAAAACAGGAGTGATAGACACCCACAACATCGAGATAGTATCGGTTCCTCATCATATGGTAGTCGACCACATTCGCCACAAATTCCTTCTCCAACGTCCCAATACTCAAGATCAAAGGATTTGTTAGGCGCTTCACCAAATAACAGACAGAGTTACTATATGGTCAACAACAATAATAATGTTCATCGTCGGGTCAGCTCTGATCATCTTACGGTGGCTACCAACAGGGCTTCGTACTATCAACAGCAACCACCTTCGCCTCAGCAAAAGCACAGAGTGCGCTAAAAAATGTTAAATTGCTGCACAAATTCTATCATTCCTTATTAGCCATAGGCATTTTTCTCCTTCGAGTTTTTAATTTTATCGACTATAACTTGGGTTTCATAAATGATTCCTTTCTTATTATCATTTTTTTTTTATTAATAATTTTACTATCCTAAAGAACATTGGACAATGAATTCTCTTTTTCTCCCCAAACTTTTATCTCGGATGATTAATATCTAGAATAAATTCACAAGCGTTTGGGACCTTTTCCTTTATAATATGTCACCTCAAGTCGGTCCAATTTCGTAATGCAACTTTGTGCTTTTTTTTTTTTTAAAAAAAAAAATTTTTTTTATCACCCTCGATCCTGAACAAAGTAAATCCTTTTACAACCTAGGCTTCACTGTCCTACTTAAAAGTAATTAGGTAGTATCAGTAACATGCATCAAAATAACTGAGCTATTAAGTGTCTAGAGTACAAATTTTATTAGAATAGTACATCGACTTTTTTATTAACCGCAATTATGTATATGTATACAATTTTGTTTTCAATTCGTTGGACGGAAAGGATCTAAATTAAAAATGTGTATTATACAGATAATAAACGAACCTTATCGTACTATCTACAGATGGATTGCAACACTTCATTAATAATCTATACTAATCTTTGCTATCAATTTTCACATATGCAACGCGCGAAGGAACTTTATTTACATCTCTATCCATAACCACATCGCATTCTTTACACTTGTAAACTTTTCTCCTATGTTTTCACATGCAGAACATGTTTTTGAGGTATATTATTTGTTCTGTACGATCATTTTCATATCATTTTCTTTTTGACTTTGTGTCATTGTTGAAATGAATAGTGGAATCATGTTAACAGTTTTTAAATTGCTTTTTTGTCTTATTATATTTGAAACATTGAACTTGGATGTAATAATAATATTATAATTTTCACATGATTTACAATTTTCTGGTATAATTCATTTGTCAAGTTTTTGATTCCCTTAGATATTCTTTATTGATTCTTTTGATCTTTTTTTTTTTAGAAATTAAGCATTTAAGCTTTTCTTTATCAAATTTAGTTTGTTTGTATATAATCAAAATCTTTTAAATCATTATATTTTTGAATTTTTTTAATAGTTAATATTTGGGTTTTTTTTTTTTAATCTTAAAATACAAAGCTTTTAAATTTTAAATAAATTTTTTTGTGTATATATAATAACAATAAGAATATATTTGAATTTTATTTTTGAATTTTAAATTTTAACTAATTTTGTTATTTTTTAAAAGTTTTTTATAATAGATAAGTCTTATAGCTTTTATTAATAATACAATATAAATAAATAAATAAATAAATAAATATGATATTAAAAAAATAAAAATAATATATATACTTGAAAAATTTTTATTGATTTTTGTCAACTCTAAAAAATTCATGTTTTTTAATAATAAAGTTTATATACTTCTTTAATAACAAACTTTTTATTTTTTATTTTTTTTTTCAAAAATTTTTTTATAATTTTAATAAGTAAACTATAAAATTTATACTTACAAAATTTATGACAAAAACTTTTTTAAAAATAAAACTAAAAAAATGTATGTATATATTTTAACTATTTTGTTTAAAGTTTTTCTAAAAAATTTAATTTAATTTAATTTAATTTTAAAATTTTGATTATATTAAAAATCTTCAAATAATAATTAATCAAATTTTTTGAATTGATTTTTTAATAACAAAAATATAAATAAAATATTATATATATATATATATATATTTATATAATATAAAATTTTACAATACAATCTGTAAAATCATCTCTTCCCACTGATCTCTTGACCAACATTCCAAAATGGTGTTCAGACTAAAAGCATGTCTTTATTCTTAACAAAACCTATACACTCTCTTTAATACAACTTGACAGACCTTACAATCAAAAAAAAAAAAACTTTTTTCCACAACCAACTAAATCGTAAAAAATTTCCTTTTTAGGAAATAAAAGAAAAATGGTTCCAAGAAAAGATGACAAGCAACAGTAGCAGCCAAAGAAGACCCAGCACAATACCAACCACAACCAAACAATCCATTAAATATGAAAAAAGAGCAGAGAGGGAAAACACCTGCTCAGAATACAACCATATGCAAAGAAATCTAACAACACAGTCAACAGAAGCAACTTCAACAACAAGACGACTAAAACCAACCCAAGCACAAGGAAAAACTCTCCAACCACTACCACAACAACAACCATCAAATAACAAAACATCCAAGCAAACTTGGAGACAACAACCAACCTCCCGACAGAGCAAAACAGTCAAGAATCAAACTCAACCTCGTCATAAAGCGACCTGGTGGAGCAGGAAACATCAAGAGAACAGAACAGCACGCCTAGATGACACAGACAAAGAAATGGAAATGGAAGATCATGAACCTACTGGAAAAGACTGGTTCACAGTCAACAAAGGAAAAGCAAAAGAAACTTATGACAATAGAGAAAAACCAAAACCTATCTCACCCTTTGATAGAACAATCCAATACGAAAGAGAACGATTCAAGCTAGGAATCCTAGCAAGCAAGATCAAAGGCCAAACAATCAACCAAAAAATTGAATACATTATTCTCGTACTCAACTCTCCAGAAGGTTTGTTATCAGTTCACAGTAAAAGTAAAAATGAAGAAAAGAAAACCATAGCTATATTTGGAGATCAACAAGCAGCAGATTATGCAACAACAATCGAATTACCCGAAATGGGTGAACACAAACTCAAATAAATGGAAATCAAATGCCACGAAATCGAAAAAAGCAAATCCATAGTGGTCTGGGATATCCCCTAAACACAATTAATTGAGATCAAATAAGCCTTTACCAAATTTGGCGAAATTCAAGGGATTACAATAAGCACACAAAACCTCTGGCAATATGCAACAATCACATTCGAAAACCAAGAAATCAAAGACAAATTAGTCAACCAAAGAAGTACTTTAATCAAAGGAGACTCAATCAAAATCAATAATGCAACATGGTCACTATTCCAAATAAAAAATAGATATGAAATCACAGCCAAACTTACCAACCTACCACTAAACACAACAGCATGAGACCTCAAAACCATCGTTAAACAGTGTAAAGGATGTACATGTTACATTCTCAAAACAACTAACACATCATACAAACCCAAAAGATTCGCAGCTATTAGTTTTGAAATACAAGAAGATCTTCTCAACGCAGTACAGCAATCATACATTCTAGGAGAAACAGAACTCAACTTTACTCCAATTTCAAACAAACTCTGTGCAATTTGCAATGCACCAACCCACCTCACCAAAGACTGCCCAACCAAACATAGACAACAACAATGGAGAGACTATAACACTACACAAGCAACCAAATTCAGGGACCTTTACAACAAATTTAGACCAGCAAAAACATATCAAATTTGAAACATACACAGTTCCAAAGACACAGTAAAACCATTCCTCAGAAGTGGATCATTTGCAGATGCAGCCAGAAGAAACACAAGACAACAACAACAAAAGCCATCCCTTTTAGACATCTCATATATCCTAAACCAAATTCAACAACAACTTGTAGAACTTCACAACAAAATCGCAGAAATTGATGAAAGAGTAACCAACCTAGAATTCTACAATCAAGAATATTACGAAACCATGGAAAAAAAGCAAACACACAACCCCAACACTGACTTATCAAACAAAGAGCCACATACAAAAGAAAAAAGCATCGAAGAAATCAAGAGCCAACAAGCAAACCTTTTTGCATCAGTAGATAGAATCTAAACAAGCATCAACCAAATAGTAACAACAATCGATCACATGTCCAATACAACCCCAGCTAAAACAACAACAATATATACTTATCAATAATGAACAACACCTATAGTTTCAACAATCTGGACCACCAAACAAATGACAACGGCAATCATCATATCCTAACCACTACACAACAACCAGAAAATAATTTCACACGATCAGACACAGACACAGAAAACAGCACATTAAGTCAAGCTTTCACAACAACACCCCCATCACCAACTCTCCAACAACCACAGAAAAACATAAACCATATTCCATTACATACACAACAATTAAATCATAATCCCCTAAATGACCTAACTGAACACGAGTGGAGAATCACTACAACAAACACTAGAGGACTCAAAACAAATGTTGGCAAAGTTCAATTATGGACAGAACAAATAAACAAAGATCAAGCTGATATAGTGGCACTAACAGAAACAAATCTCTGTAAAGAAGAAGGCCAATTCATTACCTTTCCTAACCACGAAGCCATCTGGAATAAAGCAAGTATACAAACCAAAGGATTTGGTGTAGCACTTATCCTTAAAAAACAGCTCGCAAGACACATTTACAAAAAACACATCTGGAAAGACAGAATCATATCTATAGACCTACTCTTTAAATACAAATGGAAACTTAGAATCCTCACAATATACCTACCATCTATAATACACGAATCACATCACAAACACACTCTTGAAGCTATCAGGCTAATCAATGAAGCCAAAACACACAATAGCCATATCATTATCTTGGGAAACTTCAACTCAGTCACAAACTCTAGCATCGATATGCCAAACTTAAAACACTCCAAATGCAACCTATTCACACCTACAGGAAAACTAATCAAATGACTCATAGCCAACCAATTCATTGACACATTTTGTAATCTCAACCCTTACAACACACAATACACTTGAAGCAACAATAACAATATCACAAGTAGAATCAATCAAATTTGAATCTCAACATCTCCACTTTGGTTTCTAACAAAAGTAACAATAGAAACACAAGACGAAGAAATTATGGAAACAGACCACTACACAGCAAAATGTACTATTCAACACTGGAACACAGAAATTCAAACAGATAACAGAATTTGATCCAAACTCAACAATTGTTATCAATGGCACAACACAACCCAAGAAAAATAGAAAGACTTCAATGACGACTTCTTGCTGCAGCTACAAAACACATG